GCCTCGTGGCTACGCCACAAGATTAAGACACGTGATCGTGACCCTGCGTCACAGGCTGCTCGGCGTATGCCATGGAATTCTCGTGAAACGGCTCGCGAGCTTGTCGACAATATGAAGCAATGAACCTACCGTGGAAGTCGTGGTGAGGTCGCGTAGGCCTTTTTTTGATGGGTGGAGTGTGGGTGGAACCGATTCGTTGGATGCTATCAAGTCTATGATGTGGTGTGAGTGGAACCGATTCGTTGGATACTATCAAGTCTATGAAATGGCTCCTGGAGCTCTGCAGCAGTTTGGTACTGAACCTGATACCTACGTGGTAGAGGGGTGTGTCTACCACACGTTATGGCCTATGGTCTACCTCCATCTGAGATGGAACGAAATGGCGAACCGTCATACGTATACGCTCTGCGTGAGTGATCGGCAAACGTGCATTCAGTTGTACGTGACAAGCTGAGTGCTGTTCATCAGCACCAGGCTCATCTCTACGGTAGTGGAGCAGTACCAGTTTCATTTGGAGTTTGAATATTTTGATGGAAATGTCCCTCCAGTGGAGCCACATTTCGTACTCTATGCCCGTACCTGCTGCGGTACAGAACCAGTTGTCATGACCCGGATCAGACTCGTCGTGAAAGCGACCACGCATTGAGTTCAGCAGCCAAAAGCTGGGCTCCGAAATATTCTAGGGTTCTGTGAGAAGCATGATTAGTCCTGCGAAAGATTTGGCATTTTCGTTAGTTGAGTACCCATGGCTTACAACTCGTGGCCTAGAGCCGCAAAGTGTGGTCGTACGTCGGCCACACCTTCAGTACAATTCGTCAGCATTGTACTAACTACACTGTTGAGCTTGAGGGGACCACGTTTAGTCCTGCAAGGGAGCTGATACCTTAATGTAGCAAATATATGGAGCTGTTATGCTAGCATTCATCCTCGACTCTGGGTCGCCACTAGACTGATCTAAGCCAAGGTCACAAACCCGCCAACGCGCGCGGCCATGACAGTAGTATAAGCGCGTCGCAGGTTTCGAACCTACACAGGGCAACTGAAGTCCATGGCTTCACCCAGCTGGTGATAATCAGGACCTCAACCCTGTCGGCACAGAAAGTACAGTGTAAGTGCCGTGATTGTAATTATGTCATTTGGACGTGTAGCATGTGGATTTGATACAGTTGACTCAGAATCAAAACACGTCTTGCCCGGAACAGCACCAAGGCTTACGGAATTGAGCAAACCGAGCACTTTTTTTGCAGGGTTCCTTGCTTCGAACTCTGGTTGTTCAGGTGATACAAACGTACTTTCAGCAGCTTAAGAGAGGGAATCAGGGGGTTTTTGTGCGCCAGATTTGTCAAGCGCCTGTGTGATCTCATTTCAGATGGAGACAGGACGTTTTGGGCGAGACAATGACATAAAGCCTAGTTCACATTCGACGCAACGCCGACGGTACGGGACGTAAGGGCTTGTTGGAAGGGCTGGGGTGAGCTGTAAAATCCTGTACGATACGTACGACACGACATGCAGCAGTCGTTATGTTTCTAAAATTCAACTCAAGTCGTGCTAGCCATTCTGTGAGTTATCATGGGAAGCGCAGTGTTCGAAATGCTAAAAAAATATCCAAGTACGAATCGGGAGTAGTCGGCGCACGACGCCGTCTCCTGTTCACACTCGAATTGCAGCCATTTTGTACGCTTGCGTCCCCGTCTACGCCCGTCGAATCGGGAGTAGTCGGCGCACGACGCCGTCTCCTGTTCACACTCGAATTGCAGCCATTTTGTACGCTTGCGTCCCCGTCTACGCCCGTCTACGGTATGAAAAGTTGGATCGATCCAACTCTTCCCGTCGCTTCCCGATCTGTACGGTAGTACGGTTGCGTTCCCGTTCGTGGTGTTCACATTGGACGCCGTCAGACCGTCCCGTCGCTTCCCGTCGATCCTTACGTCAATTTATGCGGTCAAGTCCACCAACCAAACCAGATTTTGAACAGCCAGACGTGCACAATCTAGCACAAAACTGAAAAGGAGTACTGAGACATTCCACGGCATGAAAGTCAGCTTGAGCACTGCTCGATAGCGCTAACCAACGGCCTTCCAACTTGGAAGTCCATGGATATTAGTGGTAATTCCAAAGAGGGGAAGGCGAGCGCCATGGAGCCGAGCACAAGCTACATTCCAAGGTTTCATAGAATTCTGGCCTGGTATGATGACGGGACGGCAAGACCAGACAGAATGGTGAAACCACAATTCAACACCGCAAAGCAACAACCACCCAACTTGGGAGGCTCAATATTATCAGAAAGGAAAATGTGAAAGTGAAGCTTCGCGAGGACGAATTGTTACAAACCGAATGCCAGTATCCTACATTACTGTACTTATTACTCAATCTGCGGACAGAACTGTTTCGTCCTTTGTGGACTCGTCGGCGCAGCACAGAGGAAATGAGGCCGAACCTGGTAGCAATGAAAAAATAAATTTTCCAAAGCCAGATTTAAACCAGGCCCGAACGTACCTTGCCAGAGTGTACTTATTACATATTTTCATTTCTGATATAAATACTTCTTTTCACGTTTTTCTGTGTTTTTTTGTTTGTTTTTATTCCACATCCCATGCTGATTCTCTTCATTACCATCCAAAAAATGTGTCACCTGGCCGTCTGTTCTCCTCCTTTCTTTCACTTTTTGCCGTGATGTGCTTGCCATTAGCCCTTTCCCAAAGGTGCTCTTCTATTTCGCACTTAGTCCTTTTCGCGTCCCTCAAAATATGCTGAAAAAGAGCTCTTTTTTCAGTGAAAACAGGCAAAAAGTGCTCTTTTTTCACAGCCATGATACATGTTCAGATATGAACCTAAGCTGAGAAATGAATACGCACTCTTCCATTCATGGGTCCACGAAAGGCAAAACAGGAAGTAAAGTTCAAAAAACGCACTTTTTACAGCATTGTGCAAGCTTTTACAGCATGTACAAGCTTCACCAACTAACTTGTTGCCCACCAAAAAAACGGCGTGCCAAGGCCCATTGAGCACTCGGAAACTGTGATCGCTTGCATGAGCAAACAGATTTTAGCACTTTTTCAGCTAAAAAAGCTCAAAAAGGCGATATTCACCAAAAAACGCAATAAAAGGCGAAAGAAACGGGCTTTACCAAAAAGGGCCAAAAAGGGCGAAAAAAGGGCGAGCACCTTTGGGAAAGGGCTACTTGCCATGCCTACATGATGCCTAATCCGCAAATGCTTTGTGTCTCGTGTCCGTACCATCTTTGCCAACACCCGCTTCAAACCCGCTGGTTTCATTCCTTCCAGAGTTTCTATAACATAGTAACGAATGTTATGGCTGATTTCTACAGTACGCTTTTTGTTATAACCCTTCCTCTTCTCAATCTATAATTATGTTATAATTTTGCAGATACATTCCCAGTAAGCCATGAACGGAGACCCCTCGACTTAGGCCTCGGCCTTTGGGGCATCCATAAAAAAAATTAAAAAAATCCCCATTGGGGACATACATCCGGTTTTTCCCTCACAACTGCGTCCGTCGGGGCGAGGTTTTTTTCCCGGCTGGCTCGGTCCATGAAAATTAATCTGAAAATTAATCTGACGGTCCCGAGTGGTCATCATGGCCTATTTCTGCTATCCACTGGCACACCTATTCTATCTGAGACACTCTGTTCTCAGTCCTTGCTTCCATACCTCACTCGTTATCCGGTTCACATCTGGCTGCGGCCAACTACCCTTCACATCTGGCTGCGGCCAACTACCCTTCACTTTGTGTAGTGTTGCTATTGCGGTCTATGTCTCTGTGTGTACCAGTATATGTGGAGCAAGACCAAGACGTTCAACAGCTAATTACAGTATGAAGACTAGTATGATACCGGCAAATAACAACGAGAAAAGAGGAGACCCAGCGTGATGGCAACACTGGACGTGACCGCCAACGATGGGGATGATGCCGGAAACGGCACTGACGGAGGAGATTCTAGCGGTGAGTTGAGTAAGGGAGAGACCGTGGCCCACGTGTGGGAGAGTGTGAGAGTGAGTGCGGGCGTGTGTTTCGACCTCGGAAGTCTTCTGTGCATAATCATTTTGATATCTCGTCCTGAATGGTGCGAAGTGCATTCTGATTCATGTTTCTCCGTTGTATATCGTGGACATCATTGTTATCAATTACAGGTGAAAGCGTTGGAGGCTGTTTTCCAACGCATTCATAAGCCTGACCTTTGTGTTCGAAAGGAGAGTGTTATTTTTTTGAAATTGTTCAACCAGTAGAATGTTGTGTTAGTCTGGTCTTATCGGGCCAGAATTTTGTCACTAGTGTTGTTTCATGCTTGAATTTTGTCCCCTCGAAGTGTTTGATTGTTATCTTTCGCGCACATGGTATCTTGCAAGAATACCTTGTGATACTTTTTGGCATTGTTCAGGTGTTATTAATATTATCACAATTGATCCTTTATAAGTGTTGAAATTTGTTAATCAGTACAACGATGCTCCCTGATGAGCGCTGTGCGAAAACTAATTCTAATTTTCATCGTTCCTATTATTGTTGTTCACATTTCATTTCCATCATACTAGTACTTCGAAGTAGTTATTTAAAAAAATAATAATTTTCATTGTCCATCACCACTTTCTCTAGAACTTGTGCGTGACATCTCAATAAAACCTTCGTAACCAGACGCTTTCACCTGATTCTGTGTATTGACATCCTAAAAGAGGAGAAGGAAAAAGTAAAAGAAAAGTAGTTAAAACTCATATGGTCATCCAAGTAAACATTTGTCACACGGGAAACACAAGTTATGCGATCGCTCCAACAACTACTCTACTCTTCCAAGTTGGAAGGCCGCTGGTTTGCGCTATCGAGCAGTGCTCAAGCTGACTTTCAGGCCGTGGAATGTCTCATCAGTACTACCTGTCAGTTTTGTGCTAGATTGTGCACGTCTGACTGTTCAAAATCTGGTTTAGTTGCCAGGACTAGCGCTCATAGCTGATCTGGGTGTTTCTCAGGCTTGGGGAATCAGATGATTGGGATCACCGACTGATTGTCTTCCACTGTCGACCTTTTGCGTGTTCGTGTGCGAATGAGTTGTTATTGTTATCATACTGCAGCACCTCTCACCCTGACGGGGCTTCTGAGTGCTGGGTCCATGTATACCAAGCGGGCCCTGAACGAACTGTCTTCATTATTGCTTACCGCATCTGCGCTTTTTGTTTCGGCCTCGCGCAGGAGAAGAGCGTTGAAGAGCAGAGGAGAAAACCGCTCTGCCTTGGACGGCCACACTACGACCGATCGTTGATTTTTGCAGTCCGTTTCCGTACTAAGATTTGCGCACCAGAGCACCAGGCCTAACTGTAATCGTACATGCAAGTAAGTTCTGCGCAGTCAAGTACTGTAGGAATCAGCGAAATGAGTGACGTCGATCGTCCAAAGCCGCAGCCTATGGCTATGTCTCGGTACCTGCGACTGCACAGTGGAGGAGGACGATGGTTGGTGGACAGTGCAGGTCGTGCACAGTTGCTGCTTGGCGCCGGGATAGACCGAGGTGCATTCGGCTGCGTGATGGAAGCATGGGACTGCGACACGCGTAAGAAGGTATGTAACTGGTATGTCTAGTGCCCAACCGCTTAGCCCAAGGGCTAGTACTACACTGGACCGGCTAAAAACTAAGAACAGGAAATTTAGACTCGGATGGAGAGCCAAGAATTAATAAGAAGAAAAGAGGCCTAAAGAGTTACAAGCAGCGAAGGTCAATGGAAATAACATCAGGCTTCCCCTCCAATCGATCTTCGAATCTTTAGAGTCACGCAAGTTGTGTGGTCTGTTGCTAAGCGACCGTGAATTGTGGTTTGACCGTTTTGTCTGATGGTCTTGCCAGTACCGTCCTCGACATACATGTACATGTACATCCACCAACGTCCTTCACAGCTGAGACTTTCAGCTCGTGCTTGTCTTGGTTGCGCTCACCTTCTCCTCCTTATGTTCTTTTTTCTATAACTTTGAACCTTCCAAGCTGGAAGGCTGTTAGCGTACGCATCCACAATGTGCTAGCGCTGATTAATGATTGTCAGTTAGAACGTTAGTACCGTTGGTCTGTGTCGTGCAATGTTATCGCATGAGCTGATTGTTTAGTAACTGGTGGTGTAAGTGGATATAATAGCGTTACTTGTAGCTCTGTGGTCCTCTTTTCTTCGTATGAAAGTAAAAAATAATTGAGCTAGATTCGGGGCCGCATGACCTGAAGTATTGAGGAACACACCAAGCGAAGACATTCGCACATCGACGGGCCACCACTTCGCCCATGATAATTGTATCCGCAGTGTCGAATGCAGACCTAACAAGTGAAGCAGGGGAGAAGGGATGAATCTCTCCAACAAGCGGGCGTGTAAAAGCCCAATTACCCCATAAACCGCATCCTTGCTACCCTGACTCCGATCTGCTAATATAGAATCAAAAGACCAACACACATTTACTCACCTATCACCACCGTCTCTATCCCATGAAAGCAAAGATACAGTCGACTCCACTTATAGCGACTCGCACATAGCGAATGTCGTCCGTGTCCTTGTTTGAACCAAAACAAAACTGACCCTTTATAGCGAACAGTTTCTTTTTGTTTATGCAAACCAAATCGTGTGTGGCCGCATGTAAACCATGTGCACTCATTCTGTCATGGGCCACTTGCTAGTCATGACTTGCTGCTTGTATAGCGCGGGTGCATTTCTGTTATAACGAACTTCGCCTATAAACAACTAATTATCCTGCATAATGGTGATCGTTATATCGGGAGTCGACTGTATCACTCGACATTCATTGCTCTTCTTTTATTGAAAGTCTAGCTACTTCAGAATGTTAGACAAGTTGGTAGAAATGGCTGTGTATAATTATGGTGAATTAGAAAAACAAAAGAACACACTCTCTGTCGTGTGTTACCATATTGATTGCAGGTGGCAGTGAAGGAGATAGCCAGGAGATCGACGTCCACTGATCCCAGTGCCTTGCGAGAGTATCGACTTGGCTCTAGCCTGAACCATCCAGGCATTGTCCATTTCCTGTACTGCTGCACAACCAACAGGTCTGTCCTCCTGGTTATGGAGCTGCTTGAAGGACGTGAGTACGCTGGACTATTATAGGAAAAGGATGGAACATTGCAACATAATGCAACATCATCGCCAGCATTTCGAAACAGAAGATAAACGCAACAATTGCTTTGTTTCACGCATCTAGAGCAATATTGATGCTTTGACGCAGATTAAAATACTTCGAAATTCCGTCAATTTGGCCTGTCCATCTGAGGTTGACGACTATGCTGTGACGTAGCACTTTCAAGCCCTATGGAGATGTTTTTTTTTTTTTGTTTTTTTCGGGTTTTTTACAAAAAAAACATACACACATACCATTACAGATGGCACAAAGCAACATGGCAGCGATGAAACCATCCAGGTAGAAATAGCAGGGTATTCCGAGATCACGCTAAGATAAATATACCGTAGAAAGAAAGCCGCTGCAGAAGCTACAAAGCGAGGCTGTGGAAGTTTTTTTTGGGGGGGGGGGGTTAGAGGGTGTTGTCTTGAGAAAGGGGAAGTCCCTTTGGCACTTACATGCTTTTCCAAACAGACAAAGAATATTGTAACTGGGTGGGGATTGTACAGTAGAGTTGACCCGAAAATTAAGAGTCAATGTCTGTAACGAGCAAAAAGCACCGAACATGGCTAAATTTACGATTTCGATTAAAGTTGGCTCCTCGCTTTGTGTGATCTCTTGTTGTTATACGTTGTTTGAAGGTGTTCCAGTTCATGTTTTTATCGATTTTTTACTTGGTCATCTAAAGAACGAAGGGTTTCTGGACCTAACTGTCATAGCGGGTGAATGAGATCCAAATAGGGATAAAAGGAGATAACTTTGAGCGAAATCGGAAACTTGGCCATGTCCGGTGATATTTGGTCGTTACAGACATTGACTCGCAAGGGAAAGTCCCTTTAGCACTTACATTTTTGCCAAACAGACAAAGACACACTGTAAATTGGTGGGGATTGTACAGTGGAGTTGACCTCGAAGTGGACCAATTGACGAACTAGCGGGTGCAACCTACAATTGTAGATTTCATCGGCTTGTGGTGCACGTCAGTCAACTGTTTCAAAGTAAATCAAATTACATTAATTGGGGGCGTTTCGGGGCCATTCCGTTGTTCTGATGCATGTAGTACCATGGTGGCCCGTGGGCAAAAAGGCCGTTGCGAGTGTTGGTGGTGCTGGTGCCGTTGTTGTCATTGTTTTCGTTGTGGTTTCTGTTTCTGTTGCTGTTGTTGTGGCTATCGTTGCTGTTAACATGTTGTTCTTGTTCTTTTTCTTGTCGTTGCTGCATTTCCCCCTACTCAGATAGTCTATGTGAGATACTGCAGGTGTGTGGAGGTCTGGCTGTGAGAGACTCGCTGGACATCACCCAGCAGCTGATAGCAGCGATATCCTATTTGCATGAGCGACATCTTGTTCACCGGTTAGACACAATAGGGAGTTGTTTTTTGCTCTCTGTGAAAATAACGTAGGATCTGCACGGAATTTTCATACGTAAAAATATCCACGCTATTGGGTTTCGCTCTACGTAATTTCTCCATGCCTGCTAAGCATACCTTGATGCGTTGGAGACTCATGCGCCGCAGTAACCCGTTTTATACACACAACAGAAGCGAAAGGCTGTGTAAAAAGGAAGGTTTACACGTCCACGTCACAACCGGCTATACATTTGCGTTGAGAAACATAACCAGAACGAAATAGAGGTTGCGACTTCGGCGATGATTCCTAAACATAACCAGCTTTGGAAATTTTGCTCGTGCCAGGCCAGCTATAACTTTAAGTTTCACGCATTACAGCAATCAACAGACAGCAGCATTTGCTATCGAATCCTCTACCAGCAGGCCTAGATATTTTGATGCTAGTGTGGACGTTATTACGTACATGTATATGTGATGTGTAGACGTGGCAACGGGACAGTGCCATTTGAGTTGTTTGTGAGAGTTAAGGTGGCTGGGGTGGTGCAACTTGTTTGGGAACTTTTTTGACTGCATTTTTTAGTTCATCGGCAAGGCGGAGATGAAATTAGCAAATGTTTTTCGGTGAATCTCTGGAGAAGAGCCCTCTCTAGGTTCCTATAGTTTTAGTTTTACTTTTGGACAAAATTTGAAAACGTTTTATGAAAGGTTCGTGTTATTTTTCACGGACCTTTCATAAACATTTTTCAAATTTTGTCCAAAAGTAAAACTAAAACTATAGGGGGCTAGAGAAGGCTCTTCTCCAGGGATTCACCGAAACCATTCAAATTATCATCTCCACCTTGCCGATAAACTCAAAAATGCAGTCAAAATGTAGTCCAAATGACCCCTAAAACATTCTACCGCCCCAGCCACTGTAACGTATAACACATGTATCCTATTATAGGCGAGAATAGAGACGATAACAGGGCAGTGTCCCGTTTTATGTACTCGATGCGGCTGGGAGCCCGTCCTGAAACGTACAGTGTATGAAGAAGGTGTTCGAGAGTAAGGGCAACTCTGGAGTCGGTCTCTAGAGTTCTCATAAACCACTATCTGCTTGCAAGAAGGAACAGCAATTGGTCCAACCACACAGCTGGGAGAATATGGCATCCAAGGTGCCAGGAATGGCTTGTTACTATTATCATTATTCTGCTTCGGCTGCCATCCCTATGTGCATCTCTGTGCGTTTTTGCCGGTGTTTGCACCATGATGGTTTGTGGCTATTTTGTAAAAAAAAATATTATTTTGACTAGTTTGATATTATTTTCTGCCAATATCTTCCTACAGTGATGTAAAGACACGAAATGTTATGGTTGGGACCAATCTGAACTTTGTCAAGCTCATCGGTAAAAGCTCTCTCTCTCTTTGTCTCTTTCTTTCTCGTTCACTTCCTCTCTCTCTTTTCTCTCTCTCTTTCTCTCTCTCTTTCTCTCTCTCTCTCTTTCTCTCTGCCTCTGTCTCTGGCTCCCGTTTTTTCTTTCTTTTTTCACTCCTCCTCCTCCTCACCATCGGTAGCTCCAGAAGAATGCAATCTATTGGCACGGCTTAGCACTGAAATCCATCCTTACTTCAACCCTGTGTGGACTATGTGCTTGGTGGCTTCTATTGTGACTTTCATTATGAAGTTGTCTGATCAGTGACTTTTCACGAAACTTGGAGTAACAACGATTTTCTCGGCTGTCCATCGCTTGATGGCTTGTGTGTCATTTCTCCATCTTTGAATGTTGAGCACCCTTTTCGCAGCTGTGGCACCTGATCTTACTCGGATACTTGCTACTTTTGATTTTGGTATCAGACTTTGGCATGGCTGAGCGAGTGGTGGATGGAAGGATAGAGACAGTGCCAGGCACAGGAATAATTAACATGTGCCATGCACCAGAGATTATCCTGGCCTCGCGTCACTCATATTCAGTTGACGTGTTTGGACTGTGAGTGTGACATGCGTACTGTTATGTGTGTGTGTTTGTGTGCGTGTTTGTGTGTGTGTTTGTGTGTGTGTACATGTATATGTGTGTGTGTTTGTGTGCGTGTGCATGTGTATGTATGTGTGAGTGTGTGTGTGCGCGTGTGTCTGTGTGTGTGTCAAGTTTAGGGTGTGCATAGGTAACTTTCTTGGCCGTTTTATGCGGATGTACTCCATGTGGTGGAGACCAGGTGTGCATTGGTGGTCGATTCACATGGCTCCGCCAGTTGTGTGGATTAGACAGTTATCTGTCTCAAGTCTTGATCTGTCTCGTTCAGATCTTGTTCGCTATCGCTGCCATAAGAGAAAATCTGTGGATGCACATCCAGTGCATTTGCAAATTTGCGTGCTTCTCTTGCGACTGGCGTATACATGGTACACGGTGTGTGCGTGTGTGTGTGTATGTGTGTATGCACGTGTGTGTGTGTGTGTGTGTGTGTGTGTGTGTGTGTGTGTGTGTGTGTGTGTGTGTGTGTGTGTGTGCGTGTGTGTGTGTGTGTGTGTGTGTGTGTGCGTGTGTGTGTGTGTGTGCGTGTGTGCACGTGTGTTTTCATGTATTCGTGAGTGTATGAGTTTCGCATGTATTCTACATTTGCATGAACAAATTTATTTTCCAGCATACACCCTTGACTGGACGTTCGCAGCACTTTTAGTACATATTCACATGAAATGAGGACAATAATTCACAATCAGCGGCTAACAGAAGGATTCAGTTATGAAAATAATAATATCTCCAAATAAGCTGATCTTCTCCACATCTTTGCACACTCTGCTGTTGCTCTTATCAGGGGCACTGTGTTCTACAGCTGTCTGACAGGGTATTCCCCTTTCGCCATGGGATGTACAACGTATGCACAGGCACGCACTGCCTATGCAGCCGGCCCGGATGAAACACACCAGCAATGGAAGTCATTGACTCAGTGTAAGTTCCACTGTATGCAATTTGAAACAGGCACCGAACACTTCTTGATGTATAATTAATTATGATGATGCTCATGATCCACAAAAGACATTTTTCAAGGATTATTTGATTGACGTCATAACATGTGCTCTGTATGGAATGCATGACATCATTGAACAGGCTTTCTATGGCATCCGTGACGGTGTTGTCATAATTATGCAGGGTGCATGGAAAGTAATTTAAAGCAATACCATTTTTACATTGGCAACCAGTACTGGTTCAACAATTCACTAGTTGAGGGATAATTGAATGTACACAGAGTCTGATTCCTAAGGCGACCACTGACTACAGTGACAGGCTACTTTACTCTCTTCCATAGTGCCTGTTTCTGGAACCCTCGCGCAGTCAACTATTACTTGTCTGTATATCCAGCTCTTCCCCAATCATCAAGGGTAATTTTCCCCTGTGTGTGTGTGTGTGTATTTGCATGACAGCCATGCAGCATCTGCTCAGGTCTTGTCTGCACTCGAGGCCTGAATTTCGGCCGAGCTTGGAAACTCTCAAACAGTCCATCTCGAGGCTGCCCGCATCATCCAGTGATGACGTAGGGACAACGAAACGCTGATAGCTTCCACACCGTGAACGGCAGGAGGAGCATAGAGATTAATGGGCGGGCTATCATTGAGCTTTCCATGAACAATGGTGCGCCATGCTTAAACACATACTGTTACCTTACTATTCATTATATTCACAAAACCCAACCAAATTTAATCCCAAACCCACCCAAATTTAATCCCAAACCCACCCAAATTTAATCCCAAACCCACCCAAATTTAATCCCAAACCCACCCAAATTTAATCCCAAACCCACCCAAATTTAATCCCAAACCCACCCAAATTTAATCCCAAACCCACCCAAATTCCACGTGAATTGCACCAGAGGTTTCTCTGAGCGCCTCTAAGCCACAAAAACGCATTTTTTATCCCACGCAACCTGGTTTCCCCCCCCCCCCTTCTTCTGCCTTCGACTCTTTTTCTTTCTTTTCCTTTCGGCCATCTACATAGAATCCACGACGCCGAACTCCTTCTGCGCTGGGTACTATCATCATGGTTTAATCTTTGTGGTTTCGCACTCAACGCAAATTTTGATAATCAGTTGATGTGTAATTCACCCTCACAAATTCTTTATGATCTCAAAGCATTGCCCACGTCTGTTTTCTTTCCTGGCGGTCAGCATGTCGGACGAACAGAGCTATACTGTGCGAGAGAGCGACCTGCATGGGTGCTTGCATGCTGGACTTGATGAGAGTGTGTTGAGTGAAAAATTATTTAAAAAATTAAGTGAAGGCATCAAACTTCGCTGACTCAGTAACACTGTCCGAGTGTCGTCTTATCTAGGTCAGCTCGTAAAGACTTCAGAGTCTGATGATCGCTGAAACGAGAGAGCTTGGAAGCTCAGGGCCCTACGCTATGCTTTTTTGCCTAGCTCATCGTACATGTTATAAGAACTCATGGAAATGTTTTTTTTTCCGTTGATTGGCCACATCATTGTATTGCAAAAACGTTTCAATCAGTTTGAATATTATGAGTTAGGCAAAAGTATTTGCAGAATTTATTGCAGATTGTCGTTTCTTTAATATCATCTACTTTTGGTTTACTCCTTCTTCTCTTTTTATCTCCTTATATTGTAAATCAACAAATTTTGGCCGATGAGAAACTTTGGCCGATGAGAAACGAAACTTTTCGCCGTCATTAAACTTTGGCCGATTGGAGTTTTCATAAAGAAATCGATCGGTACTTTTGCTCTCACATGCATCCATTGCTCAATCATGCATCATTATTTTGCCTCTGTGACAAACTTTGGCCTGCGATTTACTTTGGCCGGTTGGTACCAAGCGGCGAAATCAGCGAAATAAAATCGCCAGCGAAAATTAGTTGATTTTAATACAGTAATCGGATTTTCTGGCCTTTTTGTAGTAATACATGTACATTGACCTGTTGAGCCAATGACGACGCCGAATGCATGGTTGCCTGTGGAGCACATTACATAACTTTACAGTCTCCTAAAATACGTATCCTGTCCGACGGCAAAAGAGGCTGCAGATTTAGTTTTTCTGCGCGTCGACGGGATGTCTGTCCTGACGTTTCCTGGGACCGGCGCTGACTCTGCCGATCACGGGCATTCTGGACTCGACGGGTTGTCTGTCCTGACGATTCCGGGGACCGGCTTAGACTCTGCCGATCACGGGCGTTCTGGACTCGACGGGATCTCTCTTCCGACGTTTCCTGTGACCGGCGCTGAATCGCTCGTTCACGCTTATTTTGGAGACGACGGGATCTCTCTTCAAAAGTATGTTTATGCTCACGCATCCTATCACCTATTCGGCGTCTATTCTAATTTAATTTCCTCCTCGTCTCCCTATTTCTTTCCAAATCTCCCTCTACATCAGGAAGTCGTACACATAATACGACGAATATTGACGAATATTGGTACGGTACGGGACAGATACAGGAGCCGGTACATATTGTGGACAGCTGTTATGTACAATCCTGTAGAGCCTTTGTAGTCACAGATACGGGACAGATACGGGACAGATACGGGACAGATACGGGATAGCTCCAGGCGTGACACAAACAAACAAACACACAAACAAACACCAAATTAAAGCTGTGTGGACCCTGGCTAGCGCCAGACGTTACTGAAGTAACGTCTTCTGCATAGCTACGGGAATAAATGGAGTTACAGTTACTCAGCCTTTCATTTCCGAGTTTGTTATTATTATCACTTCTCACGGTGGCTGTTGGCCAATAAGAGAGATGCAAGTTAATAATGGTGATTATATGAGGCTATGAGGTTACATTACATGAAAATATGGTGCTACTGGTAGTTCAAGAGTTGATCGCTAGGGACTGTGCAGAATAGGAGTCAGCACATTCCACCTAGTTGGGGCTGCACTGGAGATTAGAGCAAGAGCATATGCTAGATTCGATGTGTTTGTGTATAATCAAGACAATAATTGCCACAGCAAAGCATTTCGTTCTTCCTTCAGCAGAGTGAAACACCGATTGCATACACTCACTTGATTGGATGCAAGCGGTGTACGCTAGCACGGTCTGTTTTGCCTGAATGTGTGTGTGGGTGGGTGGGCGGGGCAAATTAATCATTTAAAATTGTATTATTATTCCCGTAGCTATGCAAAAGACGTTACTTCAGTAACGTCTGGCGCTAGCCAGGGTCCACACAGCTTTAATTTGGTGTTTGTTTGTTTGTTTGTTTGTGTCACGGCTGGAGCTATCCCGTATCTGTCCCGTATCTGTCCCGTATCTGTGACTACAAAGGCTCTACAGGATTGTACATAACAGCTGTCCACAATATTAGCGGGCTCCTGTATCTGTCCCGTACCGTACCAATATTCGTCGTATTATGTATACGACTCCCTGATGTAGAGGGAGATTTGGAAAGAAATAGGGAGACTTAGGCTGTGTTTACATGAAGCGTTTCAACCCGGGTTGAGTTCGACCCGGGTCAGATTTCAACCCGCCATGTGCACAAAGTGAATGGCGCGTTTACATGACGCATTGCGCTTGAAATTTCGCCCCGGGTTGATTTCAACCCTCCCCCCAAGGGGAGGGTTGAAATCAACCCGGGTCAAGAAAATCGTACAAACGTACTTCTGTGCGTATCTCGCGCCAGGTTTGAACGGCACTGCAGATGCAAATTTCGCGCGAACGGATTCACGTGACCATACAGGACTGTAGAAGTGGACTTTTGGCGGCATATCAGTATTTGACCCGGGTCAACTGTCTTCATGTAAACGCTCACCTCTTTTGTTTGTCGTACAGACTTTCAACCCGGGCTGAACTCGACCCGGGTTGAAATTTCTCATGTAAACACAGCCAAAGAGGAAATTAAATTAGAATAGACGCCGATTAGGTGATAGGATGCGTCAGCATAAACATACTTTGGAAGAGAGATCCCGTCGTCTCCAAAATAAGCGTGAACGAGCGATTCAGTGCCGGTCACAGGAAACGTCGGAAGAGAGATCCCGTCGACTCCAGAACGCCCGTGATCGGTAGAGTCCGGCGGTACCAGGCAACGTCAGGACAGACATCCCTTTGAGTCCAGAACGCCCGTGATCGGCAGAGTCTAAGCCGATCCCAGGAAACGTCAGGACAGACATCTCGTCGAGTCCAGAACGCCCGTGATCGGCAGAGTCAGCGCCGGTCCCAGTAAACGTCAGGACAGACATCCCGTCGACGTGCAGAAAAACTAAATCTGCAGCCTCTTTTGCCGTCGAACAGAATACGTATTTATATAGGAGACTGTAAATTTATGTAATGTCCAAATTTCGACGTGAGCAGCAGGTCACTCGCGTTGATTTTTCGACGTGCGAGCCAAATAACGCGAGCTGAACTTTCGCGTCGCAGACATCCCGTCGACGCGCAGAAAAACTAAATCTGCAGCCTCTTTTGCCGTCGGACAGGATACGTATTTTAGGAGACTGTAAAGTTATGTGATGTGCTCCACAGGCAACCATGCATTCGGCGTCGTCCTTGGCTCAACAGGTCAATGTACATGTATTACTACAAAAAGGCCAGAAAATCCGATCACTGTATTAAAATCAACTAATGTTCGCTGGCGATTTAATTTCGCTGATTTCGCCGCTTGGTACCAACCGGCCAAAGTAAATCGCAGGCCAACGTTTGTCATATAGGCAAATGATGCATGATTGAGCAATGGATGCATGTGAGAGCAAAAATACCGATCGATTTCAAATTTGACGTGAAACTGCGCGTCACGTCGGAAATAACGTGCATCTTAACCTCTCTAATAGAGAGGTTTCTATTTCTCATCGGCCAAAATTTGTAGATTTACAATATAAGGAGATAAAAAGAAAAGAAGGAGCAAAACAAAAGTAGATGATTATTAGAGAAATAACAATCCGCAATAAATTCTGCAAATACTTTTGCCTAACTCATAAGCAAACCGATTGAAACGTTTTCGCAATACAGTGATGTGGCCAACCAACGAAAAAGACATAGTAGTAGTAGTAGTATTTATTATTTTACTAGGGCAATCCCCACAGACTGTGAGTCTTTTTACAGGGTACCCTAGGTAAGTGCGTGAAATAGAGCTGAATTAAGAAAGCCGTAAGTGCGTGAAATAGAGTAAAGAAAAAAGAAAACGATGGCTGCATACTGTGCCATTATGTGTTGCAAAAGAGGCTGCGAAGAGTACTGTTGAACATTGCAAAGGAGGCTGCCTGGCGGCATGCTGCTGGAAGCGAATTCCACCTGTCAGCAGCCAGGTAAGGCAAAGCATAGAAACCGTACCGTGACGAAGCATTAGGCAGGGCTAAAGCCAGGGCGGACTGTCCCCTGGTCAAGGCATTGGTATGGTTGCTATTTGATCTAAGTACAAAAAGCTCGGCAAGTAGAGGGCTGCGGCGGCCATGCACACATTTATAGACAAGGCAAAATATCTTTAGGTTATAACGGATGGCGACAGGAATAATTTTGTGGCGTTGACAAATGGTGGCGGTTGGGTGGCATGGTGGGTAGCCAAATGTTATCCTGAGGCTACGTTTGAAGCATCGAATGAGTGTGTTGTATAGGGTTGCTGATATCGTGTGAACGTAGCAGTTGCTGGCGTACTCCATGGTGGATTGGATAATGCTTAGGTAAAAGGAACGTTGTGCCTGGGTGGTGATGTGATGTCGTATTCTGCGGAATGCGGCCAGCTTACGGTTGACGTCAGCAACAACTTTCCCGACCTGCTCCTTGAAGGCAAGGTGCTGGTCGACTAGCACTCCAAGGTAACGGACACACTGGGAAGGGGATACTGGGAAGTTACCACAGATGACAGTGAAGGTAGGTGGAAATGGGGTTGTCTTCCGGCGGACGATTAATAGTTGAGTTTTGTCGGGGTTCAGTAGGAGGCCCAGTTCCGTGAGGTGTGATTTAACCGCATCGAAGCTCTCTGATAGTCGGTCCTGTATCGTGTTGATGCAGCTGCTCGATGTGTAGAGTCCTATATCGTCGGCGTAGAGTATGTTAGATGTGTGAGTTGGTGTGACGTCTGTTACGTGTCTTGTGTAGATTGTGAAAAGAACGGGGCCCAGGACAGAGCCTTGAGGTACCCCTCGACTACAGGTCACGGAGTCGCCGGATGTTTTTGTGGAGGGGTTCGTCACTGTCTGTCGACGAGCGCTTAGATAGGAGGCGAACCAAGACAGTGCTGTGCCACAAATACCGCAGGAGTAGAGCTCGTTGATGAGTGGCTGGTGCTTG